TGCCTGGCTGGTCCTGGGAGGACCTCAGACCCCATTTCCCGTGGATTCACTCCCTCACACCCCACGTGGAACTGGCCGCTCTGCACCCTCCCGGGCCACTGGGCCTGGGTCCTATTTGGGGACACCTTCGCGTGGGTTCCACTGCCCCGGTCTTTCTGGGGGCTTAGCTTACGTAGCCCCGCTCCACCCACATTTTCCCTAGGAAAGGCATGGCTCTTCCTGGAGCGCTCTGCCTGGATCGCCTACGCCACCCGCCAGCCTTGGCCTTCCCTTACGTGACCTTCGATTGCGTTTACGTCCTTGTGGGCCATCTGTATCTGACTCAGCTGCGTGTTTCCCCCACCGGAGGTTGGCCAGGACACACGGGCGATTGCAGCGAGGAGCAGGTGGTTCTCAAAGTCAGCTCATTGCTGCATAACAGGCACCCACAGCCTCAGAGGCAGGGACGAGCGTCTGTTTCTCTCCTGGCTCTCTGCAGCTTGGCTGCAGATCGGCTGGCCCCCGCTGGGTGTGTCCGGGCTCCGTTCCCAGTGCCAACCGAGTGCCTCCCCCATGGAACGGGGGGCCCTGCAGGCTCCGCCCCCCAGCAGCAGCAGAGGCGTCCGCGGTCCGGGCGGGCTGTGCAGGTGCGTTCGGGTCTCTGCTTCACACCCGCTCGCACCGGCTGGCGAAGCCAGCACAGTGGCCCACCCAGAGCCGAGAGCCGGAGGAAGCGCGTGGCCTGCAGCGTGGGCACAGACGTGGTGGGGCCGGGAGCGAGGGAACGGGGCTGTTTCCACGGTACCCTTGTCAGGTTTTGAGGTGGAGCTTACTTATTGAAAATAAAAGGTTAAAAAAAGTGGAAAACTGTAAGCCAGTGTGCCATGCTGGGCGAGCGCCGTGCGTCCAGGGGGACCCCATCACCGCGAGTCCAGGGGGACCCCGTCACCGCGAGTCCGGGGGGCCCCGTCACCACGGTCGGCTCTCTTGTCCCCGGGCGTCAGTCTGCGGGCTCCCCTCAGGAGCGGCGCTGGGCAGGGTGGGCTGAGCGAGCAGGTGGTGCCTGTGAGAGCTGGAAGGGGAGGAGGCGGGTGGGTGCGAGAGCCTCAGACCCCAGCGGAGCAGGACCGAGCCCTGGCCGCCTGCCAAGGGCCACCGTCACCCCGCCAACGGCCATTGTTTCCGCCGTGCCCGCCGTTGGCTGGCTCAGACTGGAGCGGGTGCGGCGTCGGGACGTCTGAGGGGTGGGGTCCCTCCATCAGCCCCCGCTTGTGAGTTGGGGCGGGGGCCCTCCGCACGCCCCCGCCGGGGGTGGGGCAGCCCCCGCTTGTGAGTTGGGGCGGGGTCCCTCCGTCAGCCCCCGCGTGTGAGTTCGTCGGTGCGTGTGCACGCGTTGGGCCATCTGCCCGCCCCCAGCAGTCCCGCCGCCTGGCACCCGTCTCCGCCACGCTCGGCCACTTGGCCTTCCTCGGCCGACACCCTGGCCTTGCTGGTCCTGATGGTAATTGCTGCCCCCCGACTTCACGTACCGTCAGCAGGCCACTCTCGTTCTGGGGCCAGGCTGAAGTGCCAGCGTCAGAGGGCGGTCACTGAGCGGTCACCAAGCTCATCATCGACAAGCCACGCTTCATGCAGCCTCTCCCGGGAGTGGGGTTGTGGTTCGTCTGCTCAGTGACCGCTCAGTGACCGCTCAGTGACCGCTCCGCCGCCAGAGGCCTTCCCGGACGCTGGCGCCGCGCCGCACCCCGCAGCAGTTCGTGCGAGGCCCGCCCGCTCCGCACCGCTGCCGGAACTCGGTGTCACTGCACTTTCTCAAATGCGGTTCTAGCCACTGCGGGCGTCTGACGCGTCTCGTTTTGGTTTTATTTTGCGTTTCTCCAGTCACTTCTGATGTGGAGATCTTTTCCAGCGCGCATCGGCCATCGCGTGGGTTCCTTTTTGGACCGTCTGATTCAGTCATCTGCCCATTTTTAAAAAATTGGGTTATTTGTCTTATTATCGAGGTCTTTGTTCTGGATACAAGCCCTTTGTCGGACACATGCGTTATGAACATTTTCTCCCAGTCTCGCTCCGTTTCTAACAGCATCTTCCCAAGAGCTGACGTTTTTGATCTTGATGAAGTCCAGTGTCTTTTGGTGCAGCCCGTGTCGTCAGCCTCTCCCTGTTACAGTCAGTGTGTTCCTTCCTGGTCGGCAGTCTTCGCCGACCCCAGGTCGCGAGGGTGTCCACGTGTTCCGGGAAAGGCTCTGGCCTCTGATCCGGAGTCTATCTGGAATTAGTTTCTGAGTATGTCGTGAGATAGAATACAAGTTCATTTTTTTCGTACACGTGCACCATTCTTCCAGAATCTTTTGCTGCGAAAGCCTTCCGTTGTCCACTCCAGCACAGTGGCGTTTTTGTCGTCGGTCAGGCGACCATCCTCGGAAGCTCTGCCCGCACTCCGTTCTCTTCTTCTGCGTGGTTTATCTGCGTACCAGATTTGTAAACCACCCCCTTCTGTCATGCTTCGTGGCTGTCTCGGCCGTCTGGGTTCTTGTCCCATTTTAGAATTTCAGAAGCACGTTGTTGACTTCTGCCCCAAAAGCCAGCGGGAGCTTTGACCGCAGCTCTCGACGGTGCAGCGGTGAGGCTGCCGATCCGCAAACATGGTACACCCGTCCGCTCCGAGTCTTTGCTTTCTCTCTGCAGAGTTCTCCGTTTTGCCGCGTACGGGTCTTACCCCTCTGTACTTTCCAGGCATTATTGGATATTTGGTTTTTTAATGTGATTGTTAATACTTTCTCGAATTTCATTTTCTAACTTTTTTTGTTAATCTGTAACGCCCAACTGATTTTTACACATCACCTTTGTGTTCAGCAGTTTTGTGAAATTTTCTGTTCTATTTCTAATAGCATAGTGTAGATTTTCTCAAGTTTTTCACGCGCGTAACCACTGACCAGTAATTGTATTGTCGTGTTTTATTCTTCGCCGTACCGAACTAGCTAAGGTCTCTAGTATGACGCGGACTAGAAGCGGTAACACAGTGTTCTTGTTTCCTTCCCTTTCTCAAGGGCCAAGTGTTAGCTAACTCGGCCCGACGATCGAGTGTGTCTGCCGGGCGGACAGGCAGACAGGGAAGGCGCGATCTTCTCCGAAGCAGGAGTTTGTTCCCCGGGGACTCCGCCGCCGGTCATCGCTTCCGCGCGCTCCCTGCTTTTCCTGTCGCACACCTTTTGTCATTCGGACACTTCATCCGTTTCGCCGTGTAGCCACGATTTATTTCTCGTGTTGTTAGTTCCATCCCTGTTTAGATCAGATGTGTCCTTTTTGTCATCCGGGGAGAGACGACAGCCCACGCCTCTGCTGGGTGAATGTTTCATCTCTTCTTTCCACGCAGGCAGAGTTGCCAGCCCTGTCCTCGGTCGCTCTCCTGTTCTCAGGAGCGCCGTTGCCAGTGTCAGAAGCTCTACAAAAAGACTGTGTCATTGAAAATTTCAGCAAAAAAATGAATTTCTCACATAGACAAGCCATTATGCACAACACCTCCATAGTTAACGCGGGGACGTTAACATCAGGTGTGTGTGTGTGACATCTGTGGCTCTTTTTCTGTAAGCCACGGTCCCGTATTCTTTCAGACCCAGCGAGGTCTGTGAGGTGAGCTCGGGGATTGGCGTCAGGACGACGTGTTGGAAATCCTCATTCTTCTGCCGATCACCTGATCACAGGTGATAACAGTGATGATGTCCCTACCTGGGAAGCCAGGCATTTTGCTTGCTGTGCTCACCGCTGCATCTCGTGGTTGGTCAGTGGGCCTTTGGGTTCAAGGACCATTGTAGCTAATAAGTGGGACATTCCGAGCGTCACGTAAGGTCCTTCGCTTTCCCGTATTTTACGCACAGGAATCTGTCCGCTCAAGGCCGCTTCCGTGTTCCACGGTTATTTCATCTTCTCGACGTGATGTCAGCTGATGCTTACACGCCGAAACCTGCTGTGGTGTCGTCGTGCAGTAGAGGCCGCTTTAAAAGGGGAGGCCGTTTAGTTTAGCACGCATGCAACTTAGAACTGAAGGGAAGGCAGATTTGGGAAGGATTTACGTGTAGGAACTTAGGATTACTTTTTAATCACATAATGTTAAATCCAATTATTTTTCTCTTATTTTTTATTTTATGGAAGATTTCTCTAGGGGGCAGAGACCTAGAGCCTGGCACGTGCCCAGAAAGCAAGTGACCCCAGTCTTTCTTATCTAAGTTAGTCTCTTTGTCCAAAGCTGCTTTTTAGGGTGCTCTGAGAATGAGCAGAGTCGGGAGCATCTTAAAGCTAAGGGCTCAGGGCCCTGGGAGGGCTCACTGAGCAGCCCCCAGCAGGAGTGTCGGGGGGGCGTCGTGGCTTGTAGGAGATGCTGCGTGCACACGGCGTGTGGCAGGTGGTGCAGTGGATGGCGTCACCGTCAGGCACGGGCTGCTCCCTGCCGGTGGGCCAGGGCGTAAGAGAGTGACTCATGGGCCTCAGCCCGCGCGCCTGCCGGCCACACACTCGCCACCTCTGCGGACGGGGTCCAGTAGCCCACGGGCTCTGTTTGCAGACAGTGCGTTCAGGGTGCTCAGTGTGCGTGCCAGATGCTGTCCCGAAGCCTGGGCAGAAGCCCACTGATGCTGATCTCAGACGGGCCCAAGCTGCACGCCTGCTCATTGCACCCCCACGTCAGTTTCGCTCTGGTCTTTGAAGAACTATTGAGGAGGAACAGAGGGAAGTCAGTTTGGAAGAAAGTAATTTTTTTCTGGAACAGAGTGATGGTTTTGCACCCAGGGAGAGCGGGTTTAGCGCCCGCCGTGCGTTTCTGCCTGCCGACCCTGGGCCCCCGCCTCTCTGCCCTGGCCTCTGCCTGCAGCGTTGGGCAGGGTACCAGTGGCCCTGCGAGTGTTGGCGGGGTGATGGCGGCCCTGGGAGGGGGGCCGGGTGCCGGCGGCCCTGGGAGCATGGTGGCACGCTGGCTGCTGTGTGGCCACATGTGCACACTGCTGACACCGCCCTCTGTTGCACAGCCTTGGACAGCAAAGTCCTGACCTGCGCAGCCGTGTGGAAGATGCCGCAGGAGTCGGAGCCGGGCAGCCACGAGTCCCCTGATGACGCGGCCAGCGCTGCGCACAGCCTGGAGCTGCTCTGCCACCTCGACGGCACGGCCCACGGCAGCACCGCCTGGTAAGTCCTGTGCGGCTCATCCACCGGGCAGCCAGGCATCCGATCCGACGGCGGGCCCGCGGGCCGAGCCTCTCCTCCTGTGGAGCGGACGCTGCCGGGCGCTCGCTCCCCGTGTGTCTCAGTCCCCGTTGCTTCCCAGGT